TTAATAATTTTTTTTATTTCATTTATTCATTTGTCTCTAACGTCATCAGCCAAGCATCAACTTGAGCCAATATTTCATATTTCAAGCAAAACACGAGAAAACTACCCTAAGATCATTAATTTRAACAAATCTTTTACTTAATTCAATAGAAATATAAATTATCGTTACACAAATCATCACTGAGAAAAACTCCAAGTAAAAGAAAATAACTCAAATTATTGAACACCTTAATACAGTTTATCAATACGTATTAATAATATATTAATAACCACTATTAAAGTCGTTAAAACTATTTTCAAAATATTAAGGTATAAATATATATATATATATATATTTGGCTTTGTGTTTTTTACATTTAATATAATTCATTACAAACACTAAATACTCAGTAATTAAGAACACACCGTGAATGAATAAATGGTTGCATACATCAAAACCAAATCTCCATCCAATCAATGTATAATTAATTAATGGTTACATTCTAATCGATATTTAATCAATACTAAATACGTTATTTTGTCGTTACTGACTTGAACCAATGTGGTTGAATGCATAGTTTTACGTACAAACCCAGAAGTATGTTCATAGTTCTGAGTATAACTTCTTTAACTTGTAAAAAACGACTATGGAAAATCTTTGCAGATACTTGCAAAATATAAASTGGTTTCAAAAAGGTTACATCGAGTGAATACTGCAGTGTTTTAGACTGAACTGAGGTAAAAAGTTATTTCAACAATTCAGTGTATTTTTACAAAAAGAGATGTAAAAGTCTCTCGTTATAATTAACCACGATGACTCAAGCTGCAATTCGATATGCAGTGTTCAGTATTTACAGTCCATAATCATTTAACTATTTCTACTTATCAATAAAATATCTATCTTTTCTCCATAAGCAAGACTCACACTAACTGTTAACTTTCAGAAAATAGCTTATTGTGCATTCTTTACTCAAAAACTTCAAAGTTAGATATTTCATTGATAATTATAAATCGAATAGAATATAACGTGGCCTCTTCAGTGTAGGTACGATTTTCTTATATTGTATTGAGAAGCACTATTTTCCAAACACTAAAARCAACGGAATTCGCATTCAAGCGTGACCATCTACCATCTAATGCAACACGTTTTTCTTTCAAGYATCAACTTTGTCAGATATATTTTTACATCTTTTGAAGTTCAAAGGGATTTGACAACGGAACTTCCAAAATAACAAGATAAAATCTCGAGTATACTTTCGATGGGAGATTATCAATATTTCTTCGCCCTTCGATTTTCAGCACGTAGAGGAAAGAATCTCCATTTATAGCTTTGCGAAATCTTCATTCCTCTTAAAATAGTCGATAATAATTTATTTTGTATAAACTATTGCAGCAAACGCTCCAAGACCAAGAGTAGTGGCTGTGACTAACAAACCTTTCCAAAGAAGTTTCTGAGTTGGACTAGACGCAAAGTCCAAATGTTCGAGTTTGTTCTGAAATCATAAAATACAAATACAAAGTTCAGATGATTTATACAAAATAACAGCTAATTAAGCCATCTTACGGGTAATGGCAAGTTATTATAACCGTAAATAAGTTTATCAAGTAAGTCATGTTTTTTAAAGGAGAAAATATTTAACCTACGAGGGTGTGGTGTAGAAAGGTTGTAAGGGCACATCACGTGAAAGAACTTTATAAAACAATATGGGTGTGAAGTTTGGAGAAAATCCAATYGTATTAAATGACTTAAAATTTCCATGAAAATTTTTTTGCATTTTCTGAAGTTTTTACTTGCAAATGATTTCAGAGAAATATATTTGTTTAGCCTGGCTCGCCCACGCTCAGGGTATATGCCAATGCTCATATAGAAAAAAAATACGTATGAAAGCCCAATTTGCCCTTTCATAATGTAACTATAGTGCTTATTACGAAGAAAAAATTTCTATGCACCGCGCGGGAAAATTTAATATATGATGTAAGAAAAACAAATAATGGAATGTAGATTAATCGTGACAAATGACAGGGTAAATGGATATTTGTCATAGCAAGCAAATAATCTATCAAATTTCTTTAGGTTGTACTAGGAATACACTAAGTTTTATTTCTAAGACTTTCCGTACTGAACGCAAAATACTGGCGGTTCGTTCAACCGGCGTCAAATCGGCGCAAAAACTACCGTTTATCCCAATTGTTATGAAAACTATTACGTGTAAAACCACATAGGGGAAAACATATATAGGAAAAAATATTGGTTGGGAAGGATAAGAAAACATGATTCTAATTTGTAAGCGCTAGAAAGAATTGGGAAACCAAATTTACAGTTGTAAAGCGTTCAAGAAMATTTGAGCGGCTGGCTTTGCTTCGCGTGATTTTACGAAATAAAAAATCTCAATTTCAAATACAAAGAAATAAATGAACATTACGTCAGAAGGCATATTTTAAATACATTTGGAATCAATGCCCATGTAAGTATAAATCTTAAATGGAATGTTGTTTTTTTGACATAAAAGGAAGAAATTTTAAGCCGTTCGCGGTGGTTGAATTTCGTCGAATTCTTTTTATCGTGTTTAATATCTTGGATTAGAAAGTCACACAGAAAGCCGATTTGCCGGTTGGACAAGCAACACTCCCAAAATTTTGCAAATTCAAGTCGTTCCTTGGAATTTAAAGTTTTCAATATGTTTGACTGTGGATATGCGAGAGAATAAATAACATATGAAACGGAAATCAGACTAACAGAGGACAATCCTTGTGACAGGAAGACTTMTTCCTAGTGAAAAGAGAACATGACACATTTATCTTTTAATTTCGATAATGAAAATGGTCTCAATTTTGCATTCTTTTGCACAGAAACAGCTCACATTCAGAACATAACTGAACAGTTAGAATCTTGTGTTGGCACTTTTGACCAAAAATCCAAGAATTCAGAAAATGTGCTGACTAGAATAGCTTTATCAACTGTTGGATTACCTAAAATCATATGATTTTGGCCCAATCGTACACAAAATATAGATGAGTCAGCGTGCAGCTGAGAAAAATATGAGAATTTTTTCGCCATAACTTTGGGGCAGATTGCTTGAGGCGTGAAATCCAGTATTTTCCAGCCAARCCAGAGAAAAGTCGAGAGGTTTCCTCCCCACACAGAGTAGAAAATATTTTGTTTTGCAATAAGAGAAGTTCTTATTTACACAAATCATGATACAAATGCTAAAAGAGTCAAGATACGCAGTCACCAGTTAATGATGGTCAAAAACTAAGTTCCAATTACCGAGAAAATATCCATAATAACGTAACAATACTAGTATTAAGAATCTGAAACTTATATTTTCAATTTATATTCTGGGTGGCCAATAGCACCAAYGAGACAAACTGATCAATGCCGAACTAAATTATCATTTTACGATGTTCTCCTCGTCGACATGATCTTTTTTGTTTACAGAAAGCGAGAGGCCGTTCAAGGTCGAAAATTTCAGGAATGAAAATAAAAAGCTTATTTTCAGATAATGGGGAGTGATGTGTTGGAAATTTCAAAGCATTTCTCGAGCGTTTTTCGTCATTTTTAAAGGTATTTTGAAGAGAGTTTTTAATAGTAAACAAATCGTAGTAACTAGTACTTTTACGATTAATAATAAATATTCATGTTCTAGTACTTACCCAACCACCCTCACGCTTGATCCAAGTGCTTAGTTTTTGYTCTACAAAGAGAGCTGTCCATTCGATCACACGATTTATCATGTGTGGAGCTCCTTGACGTTCGAAATACTCAGCCACTTCCACTGCAAAGGCATAAAAAGTTACAATTCGTCCCCAGTTGATCGCATCTTCAAAGACTTCRTCGGCGATGGCAAAAAACGTAGCTTGAGCATTATCATTCGTCAATGAAATCTGATGACAACTACCGGAGAGTAGTAACTTTTTTTCATCTCGAACGTTAGAAACAAGGGTTCTAAWTTTCCATGCTAACGTCGACGGACAATCCACATTGGTTCTAATAAGACTCAGAATAATGTACCGAGTTAGTGCAAGCGTTTCATCGGCCATATGTTGTGTGCGATGCCTCGTTATAGTTATACTTGTGGCGAGCACTGAAGCCATATACTAATCCAAAATCTTGATTATTTTTCTCTCTACGTTTGAATCTAAGGGACTGGCATTGGTGAAAAATTTAGCTTGCTTTTCATTCAACCGTTTTCCTACGCTGATCTGCGATCTTCTCTATACCAATAACGCGATACGCAAAGTAAAGGTAAGACTGGCACAGGCAATGTTTTTATTTAAGGTCCTTAAACCGGAAATGAGCTGAAGTGAGGTCTACCTTTTGATTGGTCCAGCCAGAGGGTGTAATGCATTTTTTCAAATGACGCAGTACCTAAAAATAAACATATGATAATCGTCACAACTTGGGGGGAAACCATTCGTAACACTACTTATTATGCAGCATGAAAACCTACTTCCAAACTAATTCCGCTAAGAGTTAGAGGAAGACTTAAGAGAGTTGTTGGGAGCTTGGAAAGTGAAACTTCATTACAAAAAAAAATTATTACAACAAAACTTCAAAATTCACCAGAAGCGTCATAAGGGTAAGAGTACTGCACAACATATTGTTCATAGAACATACTATCTGTTCCAGAGTCGATACAGACGCGATTCACCTATATTGCTTAAGGAAGAAATCTATAATTTTCTTCAGTTTTAAAGTTTGATTAATACTTTCAAAAATGCTCGGATAGTCATAATTGCTGATGATGGATAAATACTGTTTTAATACCTTAAAGGAAACGACTCTATAAATCCTAATGTTATTGTCCTAAGGTTGTATTGATTGAGACAAAAACTTAAATCTCAAACACATAACTTGGAAAATAGCTCAAAGTATACTAAATAATGGCTGTACGGAGTCTTACCACTTATTGTAATTGAGTCTAAAATTTTGAAATTTCGTTTTGCTTTTGGAAAKAATATTTGTACACTAAATACGGTAAATCAACAAACAATAATTTTGATCCGACACTTGGTGGGGAGGGTCACGCTACGGARTACTTAATAAACAGAATAACGACTCTCTTCAAAGGAATAAAAACTAATCCTTTAAAATATAAACATAAAAACATTCAATATAACATTATTTAATGATTTTAGAAATTCAGCAAAAATAATTTTTTCTCGTAAATTTGAATTTTTGAGATGCACTTTATKAAAGTCTATCAAGTATAAACGTCTTAATCTTGATAACATTCAGATTCATAAGGACTAAAAATTCATTCAGATTTACGAGAGAGTACTTTTGATATGGTTGAATTATCAAGCAACATCCTGTTTTGAAAATTATTCTACAAAATAAGAAAATGAATGAAAATTTAAAACAAACAAGTTTTCTTCAAAAATAAATCAGTCCTGCTTTTTGTTCTTATATAGTTAAGAAAAGTCTACAGCTTCTCCTATAAATTTTGTTACAGATTTTCAAGGATCAAGCTTTCTTTGTAAAAGAAGAATATGGGTTTTCATTCAAAGCCTAACAAACAAGCAGTGACGTCAGAGCAACCAAGTCAAAGACAAACAAGACAACATMACGACAGGATCCCTGCTAGGGTTAGTGGAGAGCACAGCACTACGACTTTACCACGACAAAGACATCAGCTCCGAAGACGAAAGGCAATAATAAACTTTCACCTCAATCCACATGCTAAGGCAGCTCTAGAAGTAGCTCACATGTTACAGGTTATTGGTGACAGTGTTCAAAGAAGGGCTTCCACACAGAGTAATGAAAGCAGAGAAGAATAATGAAAATAATTATACTTTAAAATACAATTATRTATCCCTTGGATACCTGCGGCATCCTGGTGAGGCTACTGYTGTGGCWTTCATTGGTWACTAGCMGACATTGTTCTAAAATCTRGGACAATATTATAAATATGCGGAGYMRTCTTCAAATGGTAATAGGCCTTTTGCAACAGATTGACACRTGAYTGTTACTGGATGGCAAAAAAAATTGGACTTCCTTTATTTMAATATTTTTYRCTGGATTACTAATGTCAYATCCAAAACCTTTTCAAAAATACTTTTTTTCCCTTATAATATACTTTCGATTTCAAGATGYRAAGCATTTTAAAGTTTGTTTGCCATCCAGCAGAGCCTTCCCCARGGGACCTTGAGCTKAATAGACCCGTTTCGAATTCCAAATTACCGCTGTGTTTCTTGATTACAGWCTCATTTGCACAGGGTTWGCCTCRAGTTTGTGCAGAATATTCACATGTTCCAGTCAAGGTCCGTCGAGTTTCAAAGTGTTTGTATTGTTGAAGTTGTGCATTCTTTACTTAAGCRTTGGTATTTGTGAATATTTAAACACTGATACGAGGCTAACCCTGTGCAAATGAGTCTGTAATCAAGGAACACAGCGGTAATTTGGAATTCAAAACTGGTCTATTGATTYGTTATCAAAGTAATATATCAGCACGTGACTGTTTGTTGCAAAAGGCCTATTAGTGACTCTTGAAAGATCTTAACTTCTGACTCCAGAATACTGAGTATATTAATGGCCCTATGCATAATCTTATCTGTATTCCTTTCGTAAATGAATGGAAAGTTATTAATCAACATATGTGACCTCCTTGTAGGTTGACAGACTTATATAAGTATCTAAGGCCTAGGGCAAACGTCAAACTTTCCATGCACCGAACTTAATTACATCAAAGAATGTCGCCTCATTATCGCCTGATATCCATTGTTTTTAATGAGTTCGGTGCATGGAAAGTTCGACGTTTGCCCTAGGCCTAAGAAGTACATGCATAAATATAATGATTTTTTTAGTTTAAAAAAACCTTCTGGCAGCTGAGATTTTGGCTGATAAATGCAGGGACCAAAGAGCCAGCTTTGGATTGGAAATTATCAAGACCTTGGCTGTTTTTCCTCTCTTTTTTGGTTTATATAATACATGTACTTCAGACAGGAGATATTGTTTGATGTCCGTGCAGCAAAAATGAACCATTCCTTGCAGGAATTGTGTGGCCTAATGACCACTAAAACCTAATAACTTTCTATTCAAAGAAAAAAAAATTTCAAGTCATATCAATTAATTTTGAAAAAAAGATWAAATTATTTATAAAAGTGAATTCAAGTATCATATTTTTGATAATAATCTCAAAAAAGTTTATTAGTCTAGTTATTAGTTTATTAGAATTTTTATGCAAATATTCACTGCAAAGCAGTAATTTAGTTCTTTATAAAATGTTTTTGTACAATTAGCCAAATATTAATTGGAATATATTTTTGCTATTCTTTGTGAATGACTTCTTGTACTTTTTTTCCGGGTCTATGAAAAGGTTCTTGTGACAACAGTAGGCAATCATATTCTTCTGCTTCAATACTCCACTTTAAATGCAGTTCCATTCAGTGACCACGAATAATAGTTCCAAGTGGAAACTGGAGTTTCCGTGCATAGCAAAACTATACTTTATATCATGCGCAGCAACTCCAGCCTCGGCCTGGAACTATTATTCATGGTCACTGAACAGAACTGTAAAGTGGAGTAGTGCTAAACCTTAATCTAGATGCTACTTGTCAGGTGCTTAGATGACGACATCTATGTAGATCAACTTCGCATTACATCATCAGAAAGCTAAAATCTAAACTATTTATCACACAAAACCGTTTGTTGAACATTTCGTTGATAAATCGTGAGCCAATTTTTGTCCCACAACACTGTCACGCATTTTCTAATTAACTAGTAAAAAAGCTTTTTCCGTGCTCTATTCAGTAATAAAGCAYGMAGGAAGTGGCGTAAGCACGAARGAMSTGTAAGGAGAAGCAYGAACCRTAGGCGAGTGCTTCTCACACTWTCCAAACTATATAATAAAGCCAGATAATGTGGCAAATACCTTTCAAATGGTGACTTTTTAAATAATGATCTATATCGATTTGAATATTTCTRTCAAGAAAATAAGGTATTCACAATATTGAACATGCTTTTGATCCTTGGTAAAATTGTTGCCATTTTGGTGTACCTCACTTGCAGCCCTGAATCAGCTAGAATCCCACTCAGATACACCTCTCGCAGGACTTACACTTCCTTAGTGCTAGCAGCCTGCTAGCCACAATCACCCAAAGCACGCTTATCATGGATCAATCCTTTAGTAGTGTCTGTCTGTCGTTTRACTGTCTGTCTGTCCATTCATTCATCATAAAGTTTATGGTTGACTATTTCGAGTTTGTTAAAATTTAATATTTTTATCTATAAGGCGAACRGGTTCTATTATGCTTTTAAAAACTTAAAACTTAAACGTTTTTTAAAAAGACTTAAGAGTAAGACGTAAAAAAAATTTACGAATTCGATGAAAAGGATGAAAAATCGACTTTTCTTAATACCATGCTATGAACATCAATTTTCTCAGACAAACTCCCTCCAGTCCTAAAAATTTTAGTAGAACATCCATTTGATTAAGTTGTACTCCTATCTAGACATTTGATTAAGGATATTAAAGCAAATCCGTCTGCACATCGCCATTTGTAAATGCCCTTACAGAACGGCTGCTCATACTCATAGTGTAAACGTTAGTTGTACCTTTGAGCGTATCAATGTAGCTTCTTCGTCTGCTTCTCCCCCATAATAGATTCTTCTCCAGAGATATTTTTTCCACCTCTTTTGTCTGCCAAGCAAACTGGATTTGGAGAAGAATTGGAGAAGRATCAATGRACCTCTTCCTYAGAGCCTGCGTYTCTCMTGGTCAGCAACACACACACAGGTAGCCYAAGGTGGGTTTCTGTGTAACTTTCCTAACCCCGGCCTCCTTTCCAAAACGCAGCRACGAAAGCTTCATRTTTAGCTCAAAAGTTTTCTAGTAGCATTATAGATTTGTAGGAAGTATTTTTTGTGATACTTTCAATACTACTATACTTGCTAAACGTACTCGATATAACGATGGAAGACACAGGAAGCCCAATCTGGACTTTTGTGTAGGTATATCACAGTACAGCAGTTTTCGTATGACTGTCAAAACCTCACGGCACGAACACAGTCGTGACACGGCAAGGCACTGATACGCCAGACCAATCGCATTGCACGATAATTTACT